CAGTGTATTACAGTAGATTTTATATAATACACTTTTACAAATCACAAATTGAGCAAAATATGGGGAGATGTAGGAAAAAAATTGATTTTCTCATTTTTACCGCAGCTATATTTGAAATTATGAATCATTTATCTTCGAAATTGCTTGTGCAAAGTGTAACGTTTAATTGGAAAATCTTGCGTTGTAATGCATGAAAATTCGGTTCACTTCACTTCTGACACTTTACATATCGGATGTATTATCTAAGAATTATATTATAAAATAATAATTTTGTGTTTTATAAGTTTATTTGTATAAATTGATTCAAAAAAAATGGAAAGACAAGAAGTGGATCTGCCAAATGAAAATCAGATTTATATTACGGCATATCTTGAATATTCTATTGGCAAAAAGACAGCAGACCAAGTTGCAAAAGATTTGCACATAGGTAGAAAAAAATTATTATTAAAATGGCAAGAACTTGGTTTAAATCCAAAAAAGCTCGGAAGACCAGAAACTCCTCTTAGAACAGATTTGTTACCAACCATTCACGAAATAAAAGCTAAGTACAATCTAGGTTATAAAAAAGTTTTAGAGAGTTACATACATGATGACACAGTTTCATTTCACGATATGCTTAAATTATACGAAAAAGAGAATCTTTTCAAATTTCGGCGAGATCCAGAAAAAATTGATGAACATCCAAATCAGTATGTTTCCCAATACGTAAATCAGCAATGGCATACTGATTTAAAAAGCTTCAAAGAAGAGACAAATGGTACCAAGCATACTTATCATTTAATTGCCTTTATCGATGACAGATCTCGTTTTTGTATTTATTACGAAATTCTTCCCGATAAAACAATGAAATCAACTTCAAAAGCTTTACAAAATGCTATCGACTCTATCAAAATTATTCCATACGAACTTTTGACAGATAATGGATGCGAATTTACAGGAAAGGACTTCAAAAACGTTCTTCAAGTAAATGGCATTCAACACCATCGGACAGAACCTTACACACCACAGTTAAATGGTAAAATAGAACGTTTTTGGCAAACAATCTTTTCGGCTCGCCCAGATTTTATCGAAATAAGAGAATTTTTACCTCACGCAATAGAAGAATACAACACAGTATGGGTTCATACAGCTCTTAAAGATCTTTTCGGTGGAAAACCTACTCCAAAATCAATTTGGGACCAGGGTCCTAAATGGACAAAGGACTTAAACCCAAATCCTGAGTTCGAAATACAGCCTCGTAACTAAAAATAAAGTAAAAATACGAATAAACATTTTATTATAATTTAAATAATTTTTTTATTCATAAAGTAATACGATATATAGCTAAGCTATGTAAGGATATTCTGATGCTGAGAGTTTAAGAACTTTAAATTACGTATAGAAAAAAAATTCATTTAATATTTTGTAACATTTTTTAAATTGATAGATAGTTAGATTTTGTAGGGGAAGGTAAGATTCTTTGTGGTAATAATGGTCGTTGAAATTAAAATGAATGTAAGATTTGTGGAGAAATTGTATAAATTTGCATAGTGTTAGATTCAGAATAGGAGCATATGAGCCAGTGATTGTGTCTAATGTTTTTAAGGTGCTAATTGGAAGTAGAAAAGAAAAAAATTTGTTGCAATAACATCATATTGCAAAAAAGTTTTTAAAATATGATGTATGAATAAGAGTATGATTGGTATAGATTTGGGTTGTATAAATGTGATTGAACAATTGTTAATGGAAAGTTCAAAAACTTGGGTGCAATCAGAACTGATTGCACCCAAGTTTTTGAACTTTGTATAAGGAATTGTTGGCTATGATGTACTGATCATGAATCAGTACATCATAGCCAACAATTCCTTCCCAAACAACCCGAAATTTGTCTGATTCCACACTAATTTTATTAATTTATCTAAACTTTTATCCTCGTCTACAATTTAATCATCAATAATTATCTCTTGTTCTATTTCACTATTATATATATATATATTTATATGATTTGATTTAAAAAAATAAATAAATTAATAAATCATTTACTCAAATATATCAAAAGTTTTATTTTTATATATAAAGATAACTACTTTTAAAAAAAAATACCCTATATATTTTTGCCATGTAAACTATTTTTGCCATGTAAACTTGTCACTTTTGTCAGAAGTGAAGTGAACCGAATTTTCATGCACAAAAGGAAAATCTTGCGTTGGTAGAGGATAAGAAATGTATTTAATGACATCAATAGTTTCTGTATCTGTAATTTGAGTTGAACCTTCAAAATGAACATAAACAGACTCTTCTCCGAAAAAGTCTTTACATGATTTTCTTAAAATTGTTTCACTTGTAATATATAAATTACTTCTTTTTCGAAATGCATTTTTTGGACCTTGATAAACATTAAATCTGCCTTTAATATAAATATTCATTCGATTTGGAATATCGGAAAAAGCAGTGGATGAAATTCTGATTGAAGTTATATTGTTTTGGAATGTAATACTTGTTAGAGACTCACAATTTCCAAATGCTTTATCTCCAATATAACTTACATACCCTAGAATTGTTATACTTATTAATGATGTGCATTCATAAAATACTTCATTATTAATTTTGGCTATCTTCAAAGGAATTGTAATACTGCTTAAAGACTTGCATGATTTAAATACGCCAACTCCAATTGTGTTTACACTATCTGGAATTGTAATACTTGTTAACGATTGGCATGAGTAAAATGCATAATTTTGAATAGTTGTTATTCTATCTGAAAATGTAATATTTGTTAATGATATGCAATATTGAAATGTATAAGACTTAATTTCATTTATTATTCCGAGAAATGTAATATTTATCAAATTTGAACAAGAAGAAAATGCATAATCTAAAACATCATTTACATTTTGCGGAATTATTATACTTATTAATGATTTACAAAATTTAAATGCATATGCACCAATAATTTTTGTACTATCTGGAATTTTAATACTTCTTAAAGATGAACAATTTTGAAATGTACCGGATTGAATTATTTCTATGTTTCCTGGCATTTTAATACTTGTCAAAGAATCACAATATGAAAATGCATCCTTTCCAATTTCTTTGACTTTATCATCAATTTGAATTGACAAAATTTTTGTACAATAAGAAAAGCATTCTTCTGAAATAGTTGTAACATAACTCGCAACAGTATATGCGCCGGAATATGCTTCAACAACTTTAATTAATGTTGAATTATCTGTTCTTGTATAAAGAGATTTAGTATCACTTGTAAAATTTGCATTTTCTTGATCAACTGTTATATTTTCTAAATTTTGACAGCATAAAAATACCGAAGAACCGATATCTGTTACATTTTTTGGAATGAAAATTGAAGTAAGATTTGTGCTTTTAAAGCATTCTTGATTTAATTTTTGTAAGCTAGAATTCGATGAAATATTTATTATTGTTAAGCCACTAAAGTAAAACGCCAAGCCAGAAATAAGATATACAGAATCCGGTAAATCTAATGATGTTAGATTTGGATCGTAAGAAAAGCAAGATATTCCAATTCTTTCAAGATTTGGTGGAAGTATAACTGTTTTCAAGTTTTTGCAGTTTTCAAAGACATGCGCATTGATAATCTTAAGCACTTTGCATTCACCGAGATCTGCTTTTTCAAGAGCTGTATTCTTAAAACTATATTCTCCAATTTTTGCAATTTGACTATTTTTGTCGAATCTAAGTGATGTTATTGAATCTTTACATTTCTTAAATGCATAATTATCTGGTTTTCCAATTTTTATTTCTGTAACTTGTTGAGGGATGAATACTTCTCCCCTAGAATCTGTTGAACATCCAGTGACAACTTGATTGTTATGTTCATATTCTAGATGTACACCACTAATGCCCGAACAAAAATGATAATAAAAAAACACGAGGAGATTTCTGTAAAAAAATAAACAGTATCGCACTTTTGTGGACAAAATGAAAAACCGATGAATTTTCCCATTTTAATTTGATAATCATAATATATAAGTATTTGTAATGCATGTTTTATCTTCTAATTAGTAAAATTACATTGCCCGCCAAAATCAATTTTTTATTGAAAAAAAAGTGGATAATAGGCATTGACTCCAGCTGCAGCATTGTTTGGATTCATTTCTATCACTAAGGATGAATATCCTAAGTGGCTTCCAGATCTTTTTGAAGAAGCAGAAATTAAATACCACGACAGACATCAATTCTCCAGCATGTTGGAAGAATCAGTTAAATATTTATCTTTTTTATATTTCTATTTTATAATAATAATAATAATAATAATAATAATAATAATATAATAATAATAATAATAATAATAATAATAATAATAATAATAATAATAATAATAATAATAATAATAATAATAATAATAATAATAATAATAATAATAATAATAATAATATAATAATAATAATAATAATAATAATAATAATAATAATAATAATAATAATAATAATAATAATAATAATAATAATAATAATATACGTGTGATTTTATCCCAAGCATATGGGGATTCTAAATTTTTGTCCCTATTGTTATCCCAATTGAATTTTTTTGGAATTTAAAATTTTTTTTCTGCATGTAAACTTAAATTTTAATTTTTACCACTAAAATGCAATATTTCAACAAATTAATGAGTAATAATATTTTAATTTATAATAATTATCATAAATCTCCTCAATTTAATGTAATTATTGTATTAATTTTTGTTGAAAATATAAAATCTTCAAGTAAATGATGTGAATTTAATATTTTTAGAATGTTGTTTAATTGTACTATATTATGCATGTAAAATTTTGTTACAATACATTTTATATGGGATCCCCATTGCCCAATTGAGAGAAAATTGAGAGGTGGGATTGGGCTAGCCCAATTCAAAATATCCCAGGTGGAAATAAAAAAATTAACAATTCAACATAAAAAAGCATCTTAAATAATAATGATAAAAAAAATTTTGTATGAATTTCAATCAAATTTGTTTTTATTCAACTTAAGAAATCACTTCATTAATGAAAGAAGTCGGGTTCACAACATATCCCGATCTTGAAACGAAACAACATGTTTACATGCGATATAAACATGAAGGTAGTCCCAAGTGGTATGTAAAATGCAATGAACTTGTGACACGATCTGATGGCGTAGTTTGCCGGTGTTCAATGCAGGAAATTCTTGAGTTTTGGATGAAAGAATACGGTCAAGCCAAAAGTAGCTTAACCTCAAAACAAGCATTTTATGAGCTTACAAAGGGTGTCATGAATGAATTCAAAGGTATTTACATACATCCTGACCTCGTTCATTTTGTTGCTGAATGGTGCTCTGTAAAGTAAGTTAGTATACATATCAAGTGTACGGAGGCACTGCGAGCCTCCTTACACCTGATATGTGAATTTGACACTTTACAAAACCGTTAACGTATATTTTACAACACAAACACAAACACCAACTTAACCTTAAATGTTTACAAAGCCGCCAACCACTTCACCTCACTAACGTTTTCACAAACGACTTCACTAATGAAAAAATAAACGTTCTCACTAACGTTCTCACTAATGTTCTCACTTACAAAAGCATTGCAACTCTTCCCATTGCTGTGCTTCACACAATACTTCATATTCTTCAGTATCGCTGCTGTCGCTCCAATCGTCAGAGCCAAAGTCACTGTCAAAATAAATGTTAGTAAGTTTTGACAAAGCTAATGAAACACGTTTACCGTTTGTATCTATTGCTTGTATAAACTTTCCATTATGTTTGTAGTCATAAACGCTCAAACTAACTTTACCCTTTCTCCCTCGTATCTGATAGAATGTATTTTCACGAGGAACGAAGAACAAGTTCTTGAACTCATGACCGTTGTAGTTTGTTATCTCAATAGTTTTCGTCATTTATTTAAAATTAAAATAAAAAATAAAATAAAAAATAAACTTAAAAATTAATGATATCACCACCCTCACACGTATGAAAACATAGCACAAAAATAAATTTAGGTGAAGTGGTGAGATCTCACCTCTTTTTTTCACCCTGTTGAATTCATTGCTTTATAACTCTCTTCCTTTCTCCAACTCTTCTAACTTCTTCCTAAGTTCAGCAATGTTGTCCTCATGAAGTTTAATCTTCCTTAATATACCTTCTCTATCTAATGGTTGCTTTATCTTTCTAAACTGAACTCTACCATCCTTCATAGTATGAATGTAAAAACCTTCTGGAATAGTTCCTGATTTAATGTATTCTACCAAAAACTTTTGTTTCATTGCTTCAGTGACTTTATTTGTCATTTCAATCAAATAAAAATTTTAATATTAAATAAAAATAACGTTATTTTTTCAGTAAGGAAACGCAGGAGTTTTACGATTTATTTGAGGAGTAGGTTCTGGTTTAAATGTTGGAGTCGGTTTAAGAGTTGACTTTTGAACAGGAGTTTGTACTTCCATAGGTTCAGGAGTCATTGAAGGTTTTGCTTGTGAAGGTTTTGCTTGTGAAGGCGTTGGAGTTTGTTTAACTTCAGCTACTTCAGTATTATTTACAACATTTGCTTTATTTCTTTTCAACATCATAACTGCTCCTGCTGTAGCTAGCAAACCTAGTGGGAGACCATATCTTATATAAGGACTTGACCAAATGCTATTTTTGACAGGAGCTGGTGGAACACCTAACCTTGGTGAGACTGCTCTTTGCCATTGTGCAGCTCGTAAGAAATATTCAATAGGTGCTCCATAATCGTTTGGTAAAGTTTGTTTCATAGATGGTGAAGGTTCACGAGAGCTTGATGAAGAACTCATTTATAAGCTTTAAAAATAAACGTTCATCCTTTATTCCTCACTGTCGTCCGTAGCTAAGTTATAGTCATCTAATCTTATTATTGGGATTCCATTAGCACGCACCTGAATGGCAAAGCAACAATCCCTCATAAATCCAATAAGTGGCTTTGGTACATTTTCAGTTGCTAGTTCAATAGGTCCTTTAACAGACAATTTGTATGTTATTGGAGCAGTAGATGTTTGACCTTGCTGGAAGCAAAAGTCCACTTCTGTTGGAAAACCACATAAGAAATGTGTGTTGTCATAGCTATCCCATTTATGTTCCACACTACCATCATCCACCAATGACCTCATAACATCTTCATTAAATCCTATCATATCATTGTTTGTATTGCAGGGGTTCGCAACCATTTCATAAAATACAGGTCCATATGATTTTTCAGGTTCTGCAGGCATATTTCCATAAGCTCCCATGGAAAGCTGAAGATATTTAAACTTAGGGTTCTCAAAATTAACATAATAGTTGTCTTTCTTTCTAAATAGTGCCCAAATACTTTTAACATTAATAGGCGTATAAGCTGCTGTAAATGTTGCACTTGAACTATCTGTATTCTTTGAGAATGAACCGTCCATAGGAATCCAATCCATAACTTTAACAGGAAAACATAAAGCCTCGTTTGTATAATGTTCTACAAGTTCTGTATAAATGTTAGGATCTAAAGAGAATGACTTTGGATGAATGAAACATTCATTAAAATCCATCTTTGTTCGAAATAGTTGCTGGGTTACAGTTGTAATAGTAACTGTTCCACTAGCTTCTACTGCCTTCGTTATCATAGTGAATGGTTCATTCCATGGAACAAATTTATTTGTCGGTGGATTTGAATCTGAAGCAAATGCAACTTTAAGAGTTGGATTGAAAGCAATGATATCATTTACAGATATAGATGTGCATTGTAAGGCGTCGCTACTGAACTTTACTTTAAGCTGAATGTTTCCTGCAAAAGCTGGAATAAATCGAATAGCTTCTAATGGAAGGAATCTTCTAACAGGAATTCTTAAACGAAGCTTAAAATCAAATGATTTTCCTGCTGTAATTGGACCACTAACAATTTGTCCTGTTCTGCATGTTCCCGAATGACTCCATACATCTTCATGTCGAGTCTTTGAGAAAACATCTACTTTCTTTATTTGTTCGGTAGTTTGTGAGTTTGAAGTTATATATGCTTCTTCTCTTGCGTTGTCTTGAGAATATACGATACGACCATTTGCAAGGATTGATATCCAGCAACTGCATAGAAAGCGTCATCGAAACCAATCCAAAATCCTGGTGGGTTTGTTTTATTGGAACCTGAACCAATTTCTTTATCTACAATAAATTGACCTTCCATTTTATACGTAATGAATGTATTGTAAAGGTCCAACATATTTTCACCAGGAGGTGAGAGATTGAATGTTACCCATGTGTTATCTTTAGCAGTTCCAGGTTGTGATGGAATCTTTGCGTCAGACTATTTTCTATTAGTGTCACCAATTTGAACTGCATTGTCTATGATTATCGAAATATGAGCGAATCTGATGAATATGCTCTGCTGGAGTAAATTCGTTTAGCTGTTCGTTCTGCATGTATTTACTTCGGATAAAAATATCTATTTACTTCATTATTCTCACTCTTCTTCTTGCATTCGTGGGTGGAAGTTGTTTCTTGACATTTTCAATGAACTGTACATTCTCTTTTGTCTCAACTTCTTTCACTGGCGGGTCAGGGTTCTTTGACTCGGTTTGTTTTTCAATGAAATTCACGAACTTTGCAATAAGCTCTTGGTTCGTTATTGAAAGTACATCTGGCTTCTTTTCTTCTAGTTCTATTGACTTTCAGTTTGAATAGAAGGCTTAACATGGCTTCGTGACTTCACCTTGCCATACACCTTAATGTTGTCGCTTTCTGCATTCGCTAATGGAACCTTTCTTTTTCTTACGTATATTTTACCATCTTTACTCTGACTTACGTAATAGAAAGGATGTTGTATTCCTCTTGCGTCATTTAATATAATAGACTCTCGCTCTGATTTTGACAAGCTCATTTTACATCGGTAAAGTTTTAATTTTGTTTTTTATCTGCAGTCAAATGACTCAGACAAGCCCTACGGACAAGACCCAAGGGGTCATAGATGTTGAAGCATTGAAGAAAGAAATTCGTGAGCAAATTTTATCCGAACTGAAGGAACAAAAACAAGAACAAAAGCCAGAGAGACCAAAGAGAAAACTTAGTGAAAAACAACTTGCTGCATTAGCTGCTGAAGACAGAAGAACCCACGTTTGCTGCGAAAAAAGCTAGAGAAGAAGCTGAAGCAAAGAAAGAGTAAATGGTTTATTTTTATCCGAATTAAATGTATAGACAAATACCTTTATCTGTTGCGTTCAGTAGTGAAAACCCTGACGTCAAAATAAAGGGAACAGAGTAACGATTAAGTTTCCAACAGACTGGATTGTGAACATAAATGAGGAGAAGTACATTGCATAACATCTATGTATATAACACGTGCTTTCAGAAAGGTTGACTTTATACTTCAAGTCGAGATAGAAAATGACGAACAGTCTTTAAGCGCCCAAACATTCACATATACAAATACTTCAATGACAGTACGACGTTAGAAGACTGTATAATTACATTTTACGAAAATTTTCAAAAGAAGTTTAACATTGAAGTACAAACTTTACAGCCTTTACGTGATTTTCTTGCAGAACTGAAAGAAGAAGGAATTGTAGAAAGATTAATAGCTTTTCATTACGAGTTTGTAACAAATGAAGATGGAACACATGACTGTCAATTCATTGTATTCTCACCATTCAATGAAGTAGCTAAAAAGAAAAAAAATCCATTACGTATAAGATTTCAAATCTCTGAACCAAGTGATGATTTCAAGAATGTTTTCAATTATGATGCAATGCTTCCGAGGAAAAATGATTTTTCCGAAATTAGATTTCCAGGCATTTGGGATAGAAAGCAAGCTATATTATATTCAAACTTAAGTAAGGGAGTTGAAAATGAGTTCATTGGTCATACAAGAACTTCACCACTTCCTAACCCTAAATACTATAAATTAACTGGCTTCAATCGTGAGTTTTGGATAGACATGTTCTCCACTCATGACCATAACTGTCCAGTGTTCTTACCTCCAGACCATAAGGACTGTCTCTACATTGAAGCCACAACTCTTAAAACTCTACCATCGCAGTATTGTAATGACCACATGGGCTTCGCCCTTGCCGCTAGTTTTTATTTTTATCACGAATGACCTCATTGCTGACAAAAATAAATGACCTCAGAACTTCAACTTACGAATAAAGCTTGTTTTAGTCGTTATTGAGAAGTTAAACTTCTCTTCAAAGCAAGGTTGACATGACTTACATAAGTCAAATCCAATCTCTTGACCATCATGAAGTGCTTTGTAAGTTTCATTAAACTGAACTCAGAGTCTTTGTCATATGTTCCTTGCGGAACCATTAAACCTTTATCTTCATCATAGAAACACTGAACAGAGTCAGGAAACATTTCATTAGCAGTTAAG